AAACATTGTCGAAACGTTGTACATTTGCTGTTATGTTAAACTTATATTAAAGTTTTTCTTCATTACCCATTCAAGCCGTCTCCAGCCATTATTAATCCAGTATTTACTAGGCGCCCTCTATTCTTCTATATAAGTGCGCCAGATAAAGCGAAATTATTAATCGGAATAGAATTGCAGACAGACAGAGAGGACAATTGAGTCAAGCGCGGTAGTGACCGTAAGTAAAGTGCGTGAATTGTTGTGAATTATAGCGTGTGTTTAAGTTAAACTGACTGTGGAAATTAAGTGTATTGCAAAGTTGATTTGAGAAAGAATAAACTAGTTTTATTTAAGAAAGGACTTGTATTGCTGAAGTTTCTCGGGAAGAATTTTTACGGAAAATTAACAAACGAACAGAGACGTAACAAATTGGTGTCAAAGAGTGGGGCAAAAAAAAAAGAAGATGGAAACCAGAGGTGGCAAATCAAACTACAGCTTAGCAGATATGATGGCAGCAATACAATAACAGCAAAAGAAACAAGAAGAACAAGAAAAGAAACAAGAAGAGAGACAACAGCAGTGGCAAGAAAACTTGCAACAGTGGCAGCTCGAACAGCAAAATAAGCAAGAGATATTACAGAAGTTGTTGGAGGAAAAAGAAAAGAAACAAGAAGAACGAGATAAGAAACAAAAAGAGAGATTACAGCAGTTGTTGGAGGATAAAGAAAAGAAACAAGAAGAGAGATTACAGCAGTTGTTAGAGGAAAAAGAAAGGAAACAAGAAGAGAGGCTACAGCAGTGGTTGGAAGAGAAAGAAAATAAACAAGAAGAAAGATTACAGCAATGGCAACTGGAACAAGAAAGGAAACAGGAAGAAAGTCTCCAACAGTTGCAGGAAAGTCAGCAGCAACTACAGGAAGGTCAACAACGGTGGCAAAAAGTACAAATGGAAAACATTAGTAAATTTCAAAGTGAATTAAATACCTTAAAGGATGATTTACTGTCTTTTACACAAGGAGGATATATTAGCCATAAACCAACTCAGCCTCAAACAACGGGAAGTCCCTTTCAGACCCCACAGCTAAACCCTAATGCAGACATCTTCAGTCCTGTTAGAAGTCAAATCCCAGATATGAATGTCACCAATAGGGTGATCTAGTACAAAAGAAGCCACAGTAATTCGATGGGAAGACACTGTGGGACGCATATAGAGCACAATTTGAGCTCCTGGCAGAGATGAATGGATGGATAGAGGAGCAGAAAATAGTATATCTGGCAACGAGCTTGCAAGGACAATCACTGGAAATACTTGGACAGTTGTTAGCAGACGACAGGCACAACTATAGAGCACTGGTAGCTGCTCTAGAACTCGGGTATGGAACCAAAAATCAGTCTGAAGTCTACAGGGCTATGTTTAGGACTAGAGTCCGTGTAAAGGGAGAGCCTGCAAGAGCTGGCACAGGACTTGGAAAGTATGGCACACAAGGCCTACCCAACTGCACCACCCGATCTCCTCAAGTTGTTGCTGAGAGATCAGTTTGTAGATGCCTTGGACAGTCCACAACTAAAGATACAAGTGAAGCAAGCACACCCCTCTACTATGCAGGATGCAATGGCCAGAGCTCTTGAATTGGAATCCTACGTTAAGTCCAGCACAGAGGTACCAAGGTTGGTACAGTCATCAGGATTCAAGGCCAGAAAAGGTCAACTTTCAGAGAAGTCTGAGGGACTTTGCTGGCATTGTAACAAATCTGGGCACAAGAGAGCTCAATGCCGGTAACTTCAACACAGGAAATATGCCATGACAGAAAAGACTGCTACCCAGAAAGGTTGTTGGAACTGTGGAGAACAAGGACATATGAAGAGCCAGTGTAAGAAAAATGCCACCAATAAGTCAGCCTTGGGTAATTCAGTAGTGGCTGGTGCTGAGGGATGCCCACCAACCCCCATCGTGAAAGTCTCAACAGCTAAGTGTAAAATGGCAAGCACACATAGTGTCTACGTGACAGAAAAGCTGGATGACCAAAAGCACAACTTTGTCATAGATTCTGCGTCTCAGCAAACCCTTGTGAGCATCAAAGTGCTGGATAACAAAGGAGTACCAGAAGCTGTACAGAAGCTCTGTGGTGTGACA